ATGAAGTGGTCCCAGAGGAGAGCCAGTACAATGACGACAACGACGACGACTATGATGTTGAAAGATGAAGATGACGACGACGATGATAGTAATGCAGGTTGTTATAATTATGTCGATTAAACATTTTTTAAATTTTTATAGACTTGGTTGAATTAACTCACTGAATTCAAATCAGTGGCATAAATAAAAAGTATTATATTAAAATTCTTCACCGACAATACTTTTTGAAATCGTATTTAAAAATGTTTTTTTTTTATTAATAAGTATAAAATGAAATATATTTATAAATATATTTTATTTTGCGTCCAAACAAATTTTTTTTAGCAAAACATTTTTTAACATCTGTCTAAACTGATGAATTAAATTTCTTTAGCAGACTTCAAATTGAAGACTGAAAAGAAAGTCGCAACCAAATCACAGAATATATACAACAACAGCAAGAGCAGCAGCAACCAAAACCACGACATTGATTATGACGACAACTTCAAAAACGTCTGCTGCAAACTGTTGAAGTTTGTTCGCCTGCCACACATCATACCACGTGATGATGAGTCGCTGGCCACTATTTTTAACAAAGGCATCTTTGATCACATGACCAACAACAGAGGCAACAACAATAACAACAGCAGCAGCAACAACAACAACAACAGCAGAAGCAACAACAACAACAACAGCTACAACAACAGCAGCAACAACAACTCCGGAAATGTAAACGTTCTAGATGTCAGCAACTTCGACTACTACAACAATTACTACATCAACAAAGTTTCCAACAACAAATTCAACAGCGTCACAAAAGGCAACCATGACAACAACAACAACAACAACAATAATAATAATAACAACAACGACGACGACAACCAGCTTGCAGGCACGAAAAACGGAAGAAATATGACAGACATCCTCATTCTGCCTGAGCGCTTCTCTTGGATCAGACCCAAGCGGAGCAACAGGAGAACAAAGTATTGGAAGAAATATTTCACTACAACCAACAACTACAAACTTGCTAGCACTACTACAGATATTACCAGCAACAACATTAACATCTGCAACAACAACAACATAAACAAAAACAACAGCACGACGAATTGCAACAACGCCATCAACAACAACACTGGCAAGATTCCCAATAAGAATAATAAAATGAACAACAATTCATTTAACAACAACAACAATAGTTGCAGCAGCAACAACAATAGTAATAATAATGATGATAATAATAATAATAATGTTAACAACATCAATAACGCCAACAGTGATTTGGGTTTAACCATGTACAATAAGTCTTCAGATAATGAGAAATCGAGTAACTCCAAGCTAGGTGATGATGGTGATAGTCATGATAAGTACAATGTTGATGAATGCAGTGATGATGATGGTGAATGTAGTGATGATGATGATGAATGTAGTGATGATGAAGATGAATGCAGTGATGATGAAGATGAATGCAGTGATGATGATGATGAATGTAGTGATGATGATGATGAATGTAGTGATGATGATGATGAATGTAGTGATGATGATGATGATGACTGTAGTGATGATGATGATGAATGCAGTGATGATGATGATGAATGCAGTGATGATGATGATGAATGCAATGAAGGATGACGATAGTGATGATGTTTGTAAAAAAAAAAAATTTTAAATTGGTACTTCGCAAATTCATCACCAGGTGTCCAATCGTTCATACCACCTCGTTTGTATACACCATTCCATACAATCGTTAAGGTCTGTTTATAATGGTGATTGGTTGGTTTCCGGGTTGATGGGTGGGTGGTTGATATTTAATAAATTGATTGATTGATTGATTGATTGATTGATTGATTGATTGATTGATTGATTGATTGATTGATTGATTGATTGATTGATTGATTGATTGATTGATTGATTGATTGATTGATTGATTGATTGATTGATTGATTGATTGATTGATTGATTGATTGGCTGGTTTGTGGATTGACATTTCAAATGATTGAATTGGTTAATTAATGAACGAACGAACGAACGAACGAATGAAGGAATGAAGGTATAAAGGAATGAAAGAATGAAGGAATGAAAGAATGAAGGAATGAAAAAATACAAAATTGTTGAATTCACCATTGACAAGTGTCTCGACTTCCGTGATGTTCATCTCATGATGTAAAAATTATTCCACATGTTTGATTTCTGCACGAGTTGCTTTAACGTACATCTGACATCTACCACCATCTAACCCTAACCCACCTCACTTTTACCATCTACCACCTCACACCTACCACCTCACTTTCACCATCTACCATCTGTGACGACAGGAGAAAATTGTTGAAAGGCCGTCAAAGAGGAAGTTGAAAACATTAAAGTGTGCCCTCATGGAGCTTCCGGATTTCAGTTATGATGATAGTTTCAGTGGTCTTGATAATGATGATGAAGAACTCTTCGGAAATGACAAGGGTTGTAATATTTGAAAGTTTAATATTTATAATGACGACGATGGTATAGCTATTCAAAAATTTTCGCGATATAAATAGCCATCCCTATCATCATCATCATCACCACCACCATCATTACCGTCATCACTACTGCCATCATCATCATCCCCACCAGCAGCAGATCACGTGGAACCAAAGATCCTACATCTCATGTCAGAACGTCAGAAAAAACTTTTAAAAAACCAATCAGGAAAAAATGCGGCCAAGTACCCCTGGATTATCGACCAGGCCATCAAACTCATCCAGATCAGGGTTGTGCGTGAATTTGGCCTCAAAGATTCTTTCATAAAAGTCCTCGAAAGGCAGAGTTTCGGTTTCGATTGTCATGATCCTCAACTTACCAGAACGAGCAGTGATAAAGATTGCTACATTAAGCGTAACTATGATATTTCAGATGGGAACTTTGTGAAGAACAATTTCAACGAGATGCACATAGACGTGTATAGCGACGTTATTTGTGAATACGTCTACAACTTAAACACCCTGGAGTACGGCTGCTGTCAGAACATCAGCAAGGAGCCGAACGATGGTGGCTATCTAGTCGGCTCGACAGAGCTCGGAAGTTTTGTTTATAATTTTAACAACAACAACATCAATAATAACATCAAAAATGACAACAATAATAGCAATGGTGACAACAACTTCAGCAAAAATTCAAAAACATCAGCAACTGACATCCACAACAGTAGCGGAACGATCGGTGACAACAAATCCAACACCGTTAGTAATGTCAACAACAACATTGGCAGCAGTTGCAACAGCGATATCTCCCGGGAGGACAGAGAATTAGTGTACGTTCACATTAGTCCAAAGATCCCTAACAACAACTACAATAAGGGCAGTCCCAACAGTAACAACTCTACCACCGGCACCACCCCCATCCTCAACAAAAGCATCAATGACGTCATTACCACCAGAAGCAGCAGCAGTTGCAGCAACGGCAGCAGCAGCAGCAAAAAGAAAGAAATGGCGCCTGATCATTTGAAAGATCTGATGGCCCAAGTAGAATATTTCGATGACAGCTCCGATGAAAGCAATTGAGGATGATGATGATGATGATGATGATGATGATGATGATGACGGTGATGATGATGATGACGATGATGACGACGACGATGATGGCTAAGGTGATAATATTTATGGTCAGGCTGACAATGATGGTGATGATGATTAAAATGATGACGACTAAGATGATAATATTGAAAACGTCACAACAGTAACAATGGATAGCAGTTGTAGTTGGAAGGCAATTATTTTTCCATTTCTCAACCTTCCTTCATTTTGTACTTTTTGTTTTCAATTAATTGTTCAGTTCATGTTAATCAAGAACATATATTTACAAAATATACATGCACACACTCACACATGCACGTTCACATACATATATTATTATTTGAATATTTATACAGAATTTTAATAAATATATAAATATATACAAAGATGGTGCTTTCAACTGACATTTGTTCTTTAGATAATCCGATGTTGAAATATATATATAGTATGCGCCCGAACATACATTACTGTTCAAACTTTAAAATTAACTCGCTTGTCGACGGTCAGCCGATGAAGTTGAGCGAGAATGGACAATGCATGAGCAAATTTAAATCATACGCTCCGTGAACAATTTTGGCGGCACGATTCTGAGTGGGCTGCAACATCCCGTCAGATAAGAATTGAACCATGAATAATCAACTTCTGTAACCCCAAAGCTCAAGCGAGTTCGTTTAAATAGAATATTACGATCTAGACTAGACAATGATCAAGAAACTGGCTGGCTGGCGTTTCACATCAAGAAACGCCAGCCAGCCGGACAATATCTGCTTTTAGCGTATTTTGTATTTAAATATTATATTTTGACTGAGAATTTGCAGAACATTTCAGTAAAACAGGATCCAGTTGTGACATTTTTTTCTGGTGCATTGGTTGGTAAATTTTGTATTGTCTTAAAAAAATTAAATTTTTCACTTCGGCATACATTTCAATTAATCAATCAAGCAAGCAACTTATCAATCATTCAATCAATCAATCATCCAATCAATCAATCAATCTATGGATAGATGGATGAATAAACTAATCATACAATTAAGTATTAGTAGTAGTGTTACTAGCCGCAGAAGCAGCAACAGCAGCAGCAGTAGTAAGTAGTAAGTGAAAATGTATCATAAAATTCTTTTTAATATTAATAAATAGCATCGATAGAACAGTTTTCATTAAATTTAAAGATTTTTAGTTGAAAATATTTCTGTTTTAAAATTCTTTATTTACAATACTGAAGTAATTACATATATTTTATTAGCATCTTTATATAGTATTAACAAGGTTACCTAATTATAATATTATAATGTGTTAATTTTTGGTTAATATATACATTAAATAAGCCGATACATTAAAATAAATTAATTAACCATTACGAGAAATATCCTATTGATTGATTTATTTGCATCATCGTTATCATTGTTATAATAATTATAATCATCGTCGTCGTCGTCGTCGTCATCGTGGTCGTCATCATCGTAGTTGTCGTCGTCATCAGACATACCATTCTTTATCTTTCCTTTTTGAGTTTTTGGCATCTTCTTTCAATCTGTTTTTTTTTTTTTCCTTCCTTCTGTTCTTACACCTATCGAACAGATAACTAACACCACCAGCGCCTCTACCACCAGCGTCTCTACCAGCAGCGCCACTGAAAACTGCACAATCGTCGTCTTCATCTTCACCGTCAGCATCTTTCAAATGCAAGCAATCGCCTTTGAACTTCATCTCGATCCCGTCCACCAGGATGACTTCACATCCGCCGTGTTTCCCACCATCGCCGTTCCCGCTCAAATTTTTTTCCTGCTGATGATGCTGATAATGATTGCGATCGTGGTGATTAGTTTTACCACCAAGACTACTGCCACTACAACCACCGCTACCACTACTATTACTACTACCAGCTACTTTTCCATTTGAAAGGACGGTCAACCTGGATCCGCTGGATTTGAAGGCGGCGGAGCGGAAGGCAGCAGAGGATGGACGATCCGGTTCTTTGAAGTAAGGATCGCAACGACATCCGTCGATTTGGTAGCTTCCCCGATCTCTCGGCCTCACGCAACAGTACCGATGCAAGGACCAGCAGAGTAGGCCGACGCAAGATATGATGGCCACAGTGGCTCCACCCGCCAACACGCATATTATGGCCCAGTGAAATTTTTTTGGATATGAGGAGGACGACGATGACGATGGTGAACTTGGTCGGTTTGTTTGGGTGGATGTTGATGAATTGAATGTCGGTGCGTGGGCTGTCGATCGTTGGAGAGTATTGTTGTTTTTGTTGCTGCTGATGTTTTTGTTGTTGATGTCGCTTGGATCTATGAACGTGAGAGGAGATGAAGACAGAGTTCCGTTGTTGTTGTTGCTGCTGTTGTTGTTGCGATGGATGGTGTGATTGTTGTTGACACTGTTGACGCTGCTGGAGACGTTGCTGGTCATGATGCTTGCTTCTTTGGAGCTGTTGAAATAATTTGTTTGCTGTTGTTGTTTCTTCATTGATTCTTCATCAGAACCAACAAAAACAACAACAACTACTGCTACTACAACAACAGCTATACTACAACAACAACCTTCATAATATAATATTATCTGTATTTCATAATACTCATAATTGTGCCAATTTTAATTCAAATTTTTAAAAATGAAATTATTTGATCAATAATATTTTTAATAATAAAAGATCTATTTTGATTAATTAAATAAAAACCGTTTGCATTCTTTAAAAGATAAAAGGAAGGAAAGAAGAAGAAAGAGCATAGAACAAAAAACAGCAACAAAGTTGACAATCTCTCAAAGCGTGAACAAGCGCGTGACACATCTGCCTGTTCATCTGTGAACGCTCACGCAAACACACGCCGGCCTGTTCATTTGTCATCAAATCAGCATCAGACACAGCGGACCATAAACAACCCGGTTCAATCACGACCAATCAAATCACGCCTAGTTTAATTACGTCAAATCCTATTGGTCAGCCTCGTCCTGGCGTCATACATGCTCTCATTTATCGCAAAACGATTTCGAATTACTTATTGGACGTCTGGGAAGGCGTCGAGGTGAACGAGGTTTTGATAATGATCGTTATGACCGGAAATGTTTGGCACGGTGACGATGATGAGGTTAATGATGAATCCGAGGACGACGAGGACGATGATGATGATGATGATGATGACCGTGTTAATGAAGCTGTATACTGAAACGATCATCATTCTTATTGATAATAAAGACACATTGGGCATGCGAAATTATATCACTCAAAACGTCATAATTTGCACGTGCATTTAGAACCATTTAATTATTTGTCGAATGAATTAAATGTGATAACGATGGAGTTTCGACTTTCAATCACAGCTGATCAATATATTTCTTTTGATTTTTTTGACTAAAATGATTAGGTTGACAATTACACAATTACAATGATGATGAGGATGATGAGGACGATAATGATGATGATGACGATAATGATGATAATGATGGCATTGAACTTTGAGTGAAGTAAAAATTCATGCAAAACCCAACATTCAGATAGCTAACCAAACAAACAAATAAACAAAAAACGAACGAACGAACGTACAAATAAATATTCAAACAAGCAAACAAACGAGCAAGCAACAAATTAATGGATCTAGTAAAAATAACTCGTATTGATTGTGGTTGTAGTTGAATTCATTGAAGGCATCATCATGATGAATGGACGAATGGTCGCAATTACCACCAATGCATCGCTTCTCACTGCTTGCCGCTGGACTCTGGCGAGGAAAAAATAAATTGATGTAACCTCTACTTTCATTAATACTACAGCCAACAGTGTTGCTGTTAGCGTAAGTGATGTGGCTATTGTTTGTTGACGTGATTGCTGTCATGTTAATGTTTTTGTTGGAGTTGTTAACGATATTTTAATGTTATTTTTGACGTTCGTGTTTGTGATTTTTCTGAAGTTAGGTAGTAGAGCCCCAAGCGGATAACCGCAATGCGGATACAAAATTCTCAAAACTCTGCGGATTTTGCGGATTTTGTTTGTGCGATTTGTCGCGGATGCGGATTCAAGTGCGTTATTTACAAAACCAACCGCAAAATTAAATTTTCAATTTTTAAAAATTTTCAGATTAAAAAATTTTGTTTTTACTCTTGTTTGCATATATGTACGTGTGTGAGAATGTATGTGTATTTAATTGCCACATCTGAGTCTCTCTGGGGTCCACGTTAATAAAGCCAAGCGAGCAGCTTCTACTAATTACTTCAGCAGATTTGAATAAATAAGGTTAGTTGGCATACTTACGAAATTGCATGGGTTTTAACAAACAACTAATACAAAAGATTTACTTGACTAACAAATATTTTTAAAACAATATAATTGAATTCAATTATTTAATTTAAAATTATCGTTGTCAATTTATATAAAAATATAACTTTTGTTTAGAGTGGCTTACTGAAGCCATGGTGGGCTTACTTACGAAATAGCATGGGTTTCAACAAACAACTGATACTAAATATAAATTTGACTCAATATGTTTAAAATATTGAATTTAAATCAAATTATGTATTTTGAAATTATTTTTATCAATTTAAATGAAAATATTTCTCTTTGTTTCGAAGACATGATGGCTAACCTACCGCTTAACAAAGCCATAGGTTAGCTTACTTACGAAATAGCAATATTTTCATTAGAATTGACAAAAATAATTTCAATTTAAATAATTCAAGATTTATTGGTTAATTAGTTGATTGTTTGATTGGTTAGTTAAATGATTGATTGATTATATGGTCAGCGGTTAATTAATTTATTTATTTGTTAATTGACTGGTTAATGATAGTACAGTACCACACAGTATCTAAAAATGAATAAAGATACTTTTTTAACAAATGTTAAAAATTCTCAATTTGATTTTATTGCGATATCGACGATGATGATTGTGACTGACTAATTAAAAAACTTCAAATAAAACTTGTAAAATAGGATGGGCGAATGACGTCATGTTAACAGTAGTTATCTAACTGCCTGTAGTTAATTAGCCGGTATAAAGGTTACATTCGATTACTATCAAATAAATTTGACGTAACATCATACGCAGGCAAAACTACATAAAGAAATAGACAGATGGTTTATAATTTATTTATAATGTTATATTTACAAATTCAAATTGTACAATTGTGTTATGATGTAGTTTCAAATTATTTTGAAATTCTCTAAGATAAATTTAAATTTTCTACTATATACTAGTCACTTTTATCCGCAATTTAAAAAAAATTCAATTTGATTTCATCGCGATATCGACGATGATGATTGTGACCTGACGCTAAAAACGTTAAAATATGTATAATATAATACCAAAAACATGTAAAATTCCTAAAACTTAGATATACAAATTTTTAGGTAGGTGAGAAGTTAATTATTATAGGTAAGCTAGGGCCCTGAGATTTTTACTAAAATTTTTAAATTTATATATATATATATATATATATATATGTATAACATTTTCATAAATATGAAATAAATTGCTTCATCGAGTTCCTCATCGTAGTTCATTTTGTGCTTGTATTTTTGGCCGATGTTATATTAATTATTAAATTAGGAACTTTTTAAATTGAAAGATGTCCTCTCAGCAGATTATCCGCTGTCTGGTTGTAATTATTATATTGTAAATAGATTGCCTTCTAGCGTTGCTACCTTCTAATGTTAAAAATGAGATTATGACGACGGCCGATGTGGGTTGTCTTTTCGCGAGTGCGGCGCAGATGCGGTTTAGAAAAATCTCCCCCGCTTGGGGCTCAATAAGGTAGGGCCTGATTATTATTATGGTATTATTGTTGTTGTTGTTCGTGCTGCTGACAGTTTTTGCTCTGATCTGTGGTCGATTTTTCACCGTTTTTCGTTTTTTTTGTTGGATTTTTCTTTTTTTTTTATTTTAAAAAACAAATTTTCAAATTGATATATTGGAAAAAAATCTCACCTTGTTTGCAGGAGCTGACGTTGACGATGGCGACAACGTTGATGACGTCATCGTGGTTGTCAGCAGTGGTGATGCTGTCGTCGTCGGTGGCGGAAATAGTGACATCATCGATGGTGATGATGATGGTGGTGGCGGTCGTGATGATGATGATATTTTTGAAGCCCAAGATTTGCCGGATTGAAGCATTCTTCTATGAGTGAATGAAAGAATAGATGAATGAATGAAAAATTTAGTGAATGAAAGAACGAACAAACGAATGAATGAATAAATAAATGACTGATTGATAGACGGATTTTGACGAATAGCTAAATGGAAATATAGATATATGAAAGAATGAATGAAAATTATTAATCAGTTGATTGGTTGTTTGGTTGAGTGTTCAATCTAAGAATGATTGATCAACTTATCCATTTCAGTTTTTTACCTAATTGACTGATTGATTGATTGATCGATTGACTGATATTTCACAGATAAATAAATGAATGAAAAAAGATTTTGACAAAAATTGATTAAATTTAAGATAGAATATAAACAGACGGACCAGTGAATGAATAAATGAATGAATGAAGAAAAGAATGAGTGAATGAGTGAGTAAGTGTGAGTGAGTGAACGAACGAACGAACGAACAAACGAAAGTTCGAATGAAAGAATGAGCGAACAAATGAATGAAATTGTTTAAACAGAAACAAGCATGAATAAACTCTTGAAAGTATTATTTGCTAGAATCTCAAATGATTGAAGTAGGAAGGACCGCTGATTGATTGGCCAATTGAATGCTTAATGGACACTTCTGTTGACATCTTCAGTGATAGATTTGCCAAAAAATTCTAAACACACACGCACGCACACAAATCTAAATATATACACATACGTAAGAACAGAGTTGCAAGTACAAACACAATAAAACAATGTTTATAAGTACACCTGAGTCAACTCGTCACACACATAAAATGTGATAGGTGAGAATCTCCGTGCATTCAAACCTGGTCACTGCAGAAGCATTGCCAGGCATCATAACCTGTCGCGCTTTTCTCTCATAAACTGCAACATTAAAACAATATCTCCAGCAAAAACGCAACAACAACAACACAACAACAACAAAAAGTAGAAACAACAAAAACAAGAGTTGAAAGAGACATTATAAACTGAACGTGACGACTGACTGACTGACCAGCCAGCCAGTATGAGAGCAAACATCAGCAGTGTCCAGTAACTATAAAAAAAGACAACTGAAACTATTTGTTTGTACCGTAACGGCACAACGTCAAATCTACACACGACTCCCAATATTATTGTCTTACATAACATTTTATTATTATTACTATTATTATTATTTTTTTTTTTATTATTATTATAATTCATAGGAGTTGGACAACTATGGAAATTTGAGATACGCAGCTATCCAAATCCGGCGAAATCAAATCCGAACTGCTTAAAAGTTTAAATTTATTTATCCCATCTCGAAATTAAATGTTGGCACTAACATTTACCACACACACACACGCACACACACGCACACACACGCACGCACAAGCGCACACACGCACCACACAGACATCATTCTCAATGAAAACGCTTAATCAAAGTTATGATACATAGTACCGAGAAACCATACCATACCATAGTTAGCAATTGATTTCATCGCATGTAGCAGTAATCCGCACCAGGTATTTTAATTTATCTAGCTGAGAATTTTTAAGTTCCTAGTAAAAAATTGAATTTGATTTGTATCATGTTGTATATAGATCTTCGACATGGGATTATACGGATTAAAATCTTAAAAGATATTCCGGGATTTTGGATAAATTACGAATAGCGGATACTAACCATTTGTCAACCTTTTATCTATTTTTAGTTTAAATTTTGTCTTCGTTTGTCTGCTCATCTGCCAATTAGTTCATCTGCTTGTTAGCTCATGCTGTTATCATTTAATGTTTGCTTTCCTTCATTAAACATTTCAATCTTCATCACGTTCTATTGCTGTTGCTCTCAATCTACTTTTTTACATTCCTTTCTTCCTTATTCATTCATTCACTCTTGCATTTGTTTGTTTGTTCATCTTTTTTGTATTTTTATTTTGTGTTTATTCTTTCTTTCATATACATTCATTCATTCAATCATTCACTCATTCATTCGTTCATTCATTCATTCATTCAATCTCTTTTTCACGCTGGGCAAACTCTCCTTGACATTCAAATCCAACGAATTGACTTCTCTGAAAAATTGCAGAGGCATGCAAAAACATTCCTCTGATACAAACACACACACACACACCTACAACACACACACGCACGCACGCACGCACACACACCTTCAACACACACACAACACGCACGCACACATACGCACATATACACAAAAACCTTCACACACGAGCAAAACTACGCATCCGACATATCTCATATGATATCCTTAGATCTCTTTTTGCATTCGAATCCCGTAACTTTAAGTCAGGACTCGGCACTTTTAACCACTATACCACAGCACTGAAAACATTTACGTGTCTTTGTATATGTTTTAGTCTTATTGTTGCATGTTTATGAACATATGCGCGCAAGTTTGGTTATGTGTGCTGGCGAGATGAATGATGATGCTTGTTGATGTGATGGGTTGTAATGTAATGGGATGCGAAGTGATGTGATGCTTGTTGATGTGATGGATGGTAATGTAACGAGATGTGAGTGAGGTGACAGAGTAGCTGATGGAGAGAGTTGAACATAACATTAGGATGGCTATTTAAATGTTGACCAGTTTCATTTAAATAATTTAATGAGTTATGTAATCGTAGTACGCGTGTGTGTGTGTGCGTGTGTGAGTGTGTGCGTGTGTGTGTGTGTGTGTGTGTGTGTGTGTGTGTGTTTATATTCTATTCTATATGTCTGCATAATTATAAAGGTTAGCATGCGATATTGAGTGTGTGCAAGTGTACGCATGTATGTGAAGACAAAAGGATGACTATGATGATAACAATGATGATGAAAACGATGACAATGATGATGATGACGACAACGACGATGATGATGATGATCATTGTGCTGCTGCTGATGGTTATTATGTTAAGGACAATTTTTAACATGGAAATACCATTTAAAACGATGCCTGCCTGCCTAAGCAACGATGATGATGATGATGATGACAGTGATGATGATGATAATGATGATGACAGTGATGATGATTATGATGAGGATGGTGATGAACGATATAGGTGATTACGACAATGATGATAATATAATAATTGTTATTGGTGTTCACTGGTGGTGATTTCATAATAACTGATGATGAGTTATTTTTTGTTGCAGGCGTTCTAATTCTGCCGTGTCTGTGTGTATAAATGTAAGCTTATACCACTTCTTAATGTACTTGTGTGTGTCTGTGTATGTGAAAAACGAGTATGTGTATGTGTGTATGTGTGAATGTCTGTGTCTGTGTGATTGTCTGTAGGGTTATATTTGCATGTGTTCATGTTTGTTCGCACGCGTTTGTTATTTATTTCACTTGCTGGTCAGTACGAATGCCCGTGCAAACTTGCCAAAAGTGCATTTCGGTGCTAAACTGAAAAAATGGAAATAATGCATTACATCACGCATACACGCACACACACACACACACACACTCAGGCGTATGCGTTAAGTAATGTGCACGCACACATAAACACCTATACATGTACAAAAACTATACTAATTAATATATATATATATATGTTAAAGTGCTCTTGTCTAAATTTTAACATTCATGATTTTGCTGTGCATTTAAGCAGATGAATAATTAGATGGAACAATTAATCCAAGCGTTTTGGAATAATGAAACAACCGCACGTTGTTCGTAGACGCCTTAATTAGTCACTAATTAACTCGTCTGCAATAGATTTTTATTTATTTATTTGATAGGATTTAATTTAATTTTTGTTTAATTAGAAATTATTTTTTGTATGCTTTTTTAGTTTTATTTATTTATTGGATTTAATTTAATTTTTGTTTAATTCGAAATTATTTTGTGTGGCTGAAAAAACAAAACTGCCATACGTCTGAGAAGCGTTTATTGCTGGTCAGTCAGGCAGGCAATATTTCATAGCCGGCCACCAGTCTTTATTTTATTCACTTTTTATTCTTAAACATTTTTCAACCGTGGCTCGCATGTTTTCGTTAAAGGAAAAATTTCCTTTTTTTTAAATTTAAACTAAAATAATAAATTTAAAAACTTTTAACAGAAAAATTTAAATTATGCATCAAAATTTGAAATGAAAAAAAAACCGAAACAAAACAAAATGAACAACGAAAACAAATTTTTTCGAAAAAACAAAAAATTTTCAAAAATTAAACGCATTATTATGCTGGCCATTCATCGAATCTGAAATATTTTCCATTTATACAAAATACTCCAAAAAATACAATGAAAAAATAAAACTATCTAAACAAACACATTTTCAACGTATTCATTCATGCAAGTAATTATCCATATCTAGTACTCATAGATGCGTGTATGTAAATATAGTTAAGGGAGGTTTCAGAAAGAGGCATTTTGAGATCTGGGCCAGTTGACACGAGATGCTCAAACCAAAGGTGAGAGGTTTTATACCAAAATTTCTACAAGATTGTGTGGCCAACAAAAAAAGTGGTCAATCTTTTAGAGACCCATGCCAAATCAGCCTTCTATTCCACTCCATTTTTAAAGGACCTGGTTGAATGTATGTTGTTTATACATGTGTGTGTGTGTGTGTCTGTGTGTGTGTGTATCTATGTACGCATGTATGTTTGTTGAAATCTTTTTAAATAGCAGATAGTGATTGTCCATAGAAAATATAGACGCGTATACCAGCCTCTTCGACATGAACGTGGTTTCTTAAAAGTAACTGCATCATAGGGCGGCACATAAAAAGTTTCTTCTTTGATAAATTGACATTAATTTTATTTATGTAAAAATGGAGAAAAAAATCTGTGATGGATTGAGGTGTTGTTTATACTTGTTCTTTGTTGTTGTTCGTTTGTCCGTTTGTTGATGTTTGTTTGTTTGTTTGTTTGTTGATGTTTGCAAATGTTATGTTTTGCAATCTTATAACATAAAACAAAAATTCTTTTATTTTTGAGGGATTATTATTTGATGAGATGTCCAGCGATTGATACATAGATGTATTCTATCATGAAAAATTGATTTGAGAAGATGGATGAATTTATGAAACGTCATCATCAACATCATCATCAACGTCATCCTCTCTCCTCAGCTTCTTCAACAGTAACCCGTCTTTATTTTTCATCATTAATCATTTTTAACTCCTCATTATCACCGTCAACAACCATATTCGCACGCACGCACACGCACGCACACACACACACACAACGAGATACATGTACGCGCACACGCACACAAACATACACAGACACACACAGATATATACATTTATATATATATATATATATATATATATACATAATATTTTTATTTGAATTTGTTGAAAACGGACTACCAGCACCATAATAAATGATTGATTAATTGTTTATTTTTTATGTATTTAATTTTCAAGAACTCAATTAATCAAATTCGCAAAAGACAGACAGGTAGAAAGATCTGAATGTGATCTGATAAGCTTAATAAAGATCGTACAATCGATCATGATTAATGTTGTTTATCGAGGTACGATGCGATACGATACCCTACCTACTTCTAATTAATGATTTAGTAGTGTTTTTTCCCTATAAATTTATTATCTCTTGTTGCAAGATGTTTTTGCTGTGTTGTTTTTTTTTGTTTTAAATATACACATATTGATAAAATCTGCTCAGTTATCTCTAAGACGGTTGTGAATAAAAATTACGGTGATTTTTTAACTTTCATGTTTGTTTCTGACAGTGCAAAATATTCAAAGACGCGAAATGGGGTCATGAATCTACGCTACTTATTTAACCCATTTTAGACAAATCTCTGTAGGAAGCTTTCATGTATCAAGCTAACAAATGGTTTTTGTTTATCTTCCATATCTCACATTCAATTCAATCAAACATTCAATTTTATTTGCCGGCTCACCAAAACGAAAATCTCAGAAAATCTCCTCATAAAAATCTGAAATATTTTTATTACAATCAATCAGTCAGCAGCCAATAGAAGTTCACGAGATTAATTTGTTTAATTTGGAATGGGAACTTCCTGCCCTATTCGAATCCGGGCCTGACTGCCCAGCACACTGCGCCAAGCCGCCTCGACCACTAGGCTATCACGCCCGCCCACATACCTCTTCATAAACACATCTAAACATACATATTAAAAAATTAAACAAATGTTTAAATCACCGACATAAACATTTTTTACTATATCCAAAAAATGACGTGTAAAAAAACATGCGAGACCATCATCTGCACTCGACAAATGTTTAAGACCTACTCTTCCAGCAGAAACTCACACAAATCCTTATAAAAAGGATTGTTACGTCAATGGAAATGTGGCGCATTTCATGCTAAACTTTTCATTTATGCGCCTCCATCTATACGTGTTTGTGTGTGTGTGTGTGCGTGAGTCTGCGCGTGAATGTACGTAAGTGTACACGCATGTTTGTGTGTACGTGTGCCTGTATTGTATATGCATGCTTGGTTGATGCATCTGAATCGAATTGCAATGACATGAGCATCAATCATTGAAGCCAGACAACAAAGCTTACCAACGAACACAATCAAAAACGTGCAATCATATCTGCACACACACACGCGCGCGCAAACACAAACATAGACACCCCAAACATTCACACACATTCGCAGCGACACACATATGCACACGCACATTTTGAATCACATTGAGACCCATTAATGCACACAAAATTATTCATGCATGTATGAATGTTCGCACTTCACTATTTACTCTCTCACACATAACTTACACATGCAAAAACATTTCATAAACACACATTTTCATTAAAAAAAACCGTTTTTGTAATCAAAAGCTTTCATGATCTACACACACACACATACATATAAATGCCCACACATGCACACACACTCACACACACACACATTACACGATCACAAATACATGCACAAATACATTAACAGTTAAACACACAGACACACATTACACAAATACAAATACGTGCACAAATACATTAACAGTTAAAAACTCTCTCTCTCTATCTCACACACACACACACACAACACAAACATTTTCTTACATACTTACATACAATCCGCAATCATAAACGTTAACATTCACATTCGAACCTGCTCGTACATGAACACGAAGGAAGGAACTTATCGAAAGAAATAAGAGCAGGTACGTGATCTTAATAATATCTTCATAACTATATTATATTGCAATATATTACGCTACGAACACATAAAAATGGAACGCTTATTTCACATGTGTATATTGTGTATATCACTCATGATATTATCATTACCATCTTCACATGTGTATATCACTCAAATCACATACGGATTCATTAATTACTTCATTCAATTTATCACACATTCATTCATTCATTCGTTCGTTCGTTCGGTCGGTCGGTCGTTCGTTCGTTCGTTCATTCATTCATTCATTCATTCATTCATTCATTCATTCATTCATTCATCCATAATATGTTTAATTATTTTGGTTTCATTCTATAAAATCTTGAAAAAAAAGAATTATTCGACCATCCATCAATCCATCCAACTACACGCTAATGAGCGTCTAACCGGTCAACAAACCAATCGACCACTCATCACTACATCACCATAGCAACAAGGAGGAAGAAGATTTTGGCGGGAAAACCTTTGAATTACGAGGGGAACGTTTAATCCTTCTTTACAGTTTGCTCTCCACTCAGATAACCTCCCACACCGCATTGCATCTTTACGCTTCACTTGTGCACTCTCCCACACGAGTCTGTTTGTACATATGTGTACATTTGTTTGTACAGTGCATACGTGCACCTAGACTGCATGCATCATTTGCATATTCTCCATAAAGTTTGCAAATGGTTTTATTGCGGTTGTATGATTTCCTCTGTTGTACTACTCCATTGTACCTATTTTTAGTGGCATAAATGTGTATCTAGTTGTACATTATTCTGAAATTTTCTATAAAATTTGACACATTTAAACAAACTCGTTGGGACAACTTGAATGGAAATTAATTTAATATTGTATTGCAGAATTGTATATCTGAATATATACATAATGTGTTTAAGAGTATGATATAACCGAATGTGTAAATAAGCTTTTTAAACATTGAAATGATTTCTAACATAGCCAGCCAGCCAGCCAGTCGGCCAGTTGCACATAAACGTTGTAATGCTAACAAGTGCGGAGCTGAAGATGCTTGCACGGCTGAGGGCCACACCGAGTGAGGTCTGCTGCATCCTTCTTCAATTAAGTATCCAACATAGCTGCTGCGTTATTTCACCCACATCTCCGCAAATGCATGTCTTCAAAACGTACTTTAGATGCAAACTTTAAACGTTCACTCGTGCATGTTCGTAACAAACATGGACGAACAAATGAACAAAAATGTAATTGAGCAAACGAACGAACAATACGAACCCAAGAACGTTCCCACGTGGGTACTTCTAACAGAAAATTTTGATCGTAATAATTTAATATGCATTCTGCAATGTCAGTTTGTGTAACTAAGTGTATACACATGTGTGTGTGTTGTGTGTGTGTTGTGTGAGTGCGAGTATGTGTTTGTGCACGTCTTAATAGGAGTTTTAATTAGATCATTTTGCACGCAGGCGTGCACACAGCACAGATGCATGCGTGCACAAATATATACAATACACATCATGAATATGATGGTGGGCGTGAAACATGTGGAGAAAGAAATTAAACAAAGTTAAAGAAAAATAAAAAAATTAAGGAGAAAACTAAAAGGAAAAGAGAGAGAGAAAGAACGAGAGAAAGACAAAAAGAAAAAATTAAAGAGAGAGAGAGAGAGAAGAAGTAAGAAAAAAATTTAAGGAAGGAAAAAAAATTAGAATAATAAGGAAAAAGGGAGAGAAAGAAAAAGAAAGAGCGAGAGAATAGTTCAAACTAACAAGGATGTGGGCGGGCTGATGGGAATATTTAACGCACGCACGCACGCACTCGTACAAACACGTGTAAGAACTCATACACAAAACACATACAACAACTCACATCCACATACACACACACACACGTACAGACGCACACAAACGGACAGACACTTGCGTAGAATGAAGTGGAGTGAACTGGATGGTTGGTATTTATTGCTCGTAAAATGAGGAATCACTTGTCGCTCTTCTTCTTTCTGTAGCTGCTGCCTCCTCAACACGATGAACCACGTGATGCAATGACGATGATGACGATGACGTTGTTGTTGTTGTTGTTGATGATGATGTTGTTGTTGTTGATGATGTTGTTGTTGTTGTTGATGATGATGTTGTTGTTGTTGATGATGTTGTTGTTGTTGATGATGTTGTTGTTGTTGTTGATGATGTTGTTGTTGTTGTTGATGATGATGTTGTTGCTGTTGATGATGATGTTGTTGTTGTTGATGATGATGTTGTTGTTGTTGATGATGATGTTGTTGTTGTTGATGATGTTGTTGTTGTTGATGATGATGTTGTTGTTGTTGATGATGATGTTGTTGTTGTTGATGATGATGTTGTTGTTGTTGATGATGATGTTGTTGTTGTTGATGATGATGTTGTTGTTGTTGATGATGATGATGAGAACGACAACGATGATGACTATGAGGATGACGTTGATGATGAGGGTGATGATGTCGACAAGTAGCAGCAGCAGTGGTAGTAGTAAAAACAACAAAAATAGTATTTATAGTAGTAGTAGTAGTAGTAGTAGTAGTAGTAGTAGTAGTAGTAGTAGTAGTAGCAGCAGCAGCAGTGGTAGTAGTAAAAACAACAAAAATAGTATTGGTAGTAGTAGTAGTAGTAGTAGTAGTAGCAGCAACAGCAGTGGTAGTAGTAAAAACAACAAAAATAGTATTGGTAGTAGTAGTAGTAGTAGTAGTAGTAGCAGCAGCAGCCGCAGTGGTAGTAGTAAAAACAACAAAAATAGTATTGGTAATAGTAGTAGTAGTAGTAGTAGTGGCAGCAAAAGTAATTATAGCTGCAGAAATAGTAGCAGTTGAAGTAAAAGTAGTAGCAGGGGAAGCTGCCAAAAAAGTAGTAACTGTAGTGTAGTAACAGTAGTAATTGTGGCATTAGTAGTAGTAATGCAAGCTGTGGTAGTAGTGGTGGCATGGTGAAATCAGTATTCAAGAAACACCTGTCCTCAAAGAATTACTCGATCAGGCTTACATTCACACATTGAAGCCTTGCGAAAAACGCTTACACGACTTCTCGTTAATTTTCTGATTTGGGCATAAACACAAAGAGT